GATGGTAGGGGGAGAATCCCCCGATTGAACAGCATCAAGGAGAAGGCAGGGCATGAAATACAGTGAAACGGAATTAAACCATGTTTTTGCATTTTCCACTGAGGCTTTAAATGTATCTGCAGCTTTCATTTTAATCAAAATAGCTTAATTTAGGGGAAAAGAGCCCACTTCTTTTTTCTTTATAAAATCCTGAGTTTATTGCTTCCTGAATTTTTTTAAAGGGAGAAACACAGACCATCTGCTCTGAGAAGCTCCGTTTGACAGCTTAGCCGGGGTCATGCTAGGATTCAGAAATTGCTGAGTGTGAAAGGGAGGCCTGAGGTGTGGGTCTGAGGAGGGTGTGGGCAGCCGGGATCAAGAGTCTCCTCAGAATAATCTCAAGCAGTTTGGGCATGGGGTGTCGTGCCAGCTTTTGGGTTGTGTGTTAATTTTAATACAGCTCCTTGTCAGTCACACCTTGCCCTACAGCCTCCAGGGACTTGCATCAGACCCATGGAAAAGCAGCAACAGTGATTAAATATTAAACTGCATTTAAGTCTCTGTAAATCCTGGTGTAGATCCTGGTGGCTGCTTATGGTGAATACCTGTGACTTCCTGCCTGAGAGCTGTTTCCTGCTGGGAAAGGAGCCTGAACAAACAACATGGGATAATTAAGCGTTTAGACAATTACGGAGAGGGGTTTGGTGAGGAAGCAAGTGCTCTCAACAGTGGTGGGCAAAGAGCTTATTCAAGCTCCAGACTGGGACAACCGTGTATGGTCTACACTGTCTCCCAGACGTCCTCAGCAGAAATGGGATCCAAGGCTAATAGGCTAGATAATGCACCCTTTGTTACTGGTTTTCTTTCTACAATTTTCTTACTCTGTTCTCTCCTCATACTTCCGATGATTATCTCCCTTATAAACTATCTGCCCTTAAATGCAGAGGTATCTCGGAATCCTTTCTTGGAGTCCTGCGTGTAGTCAGGCCCTGGATGTGTAAGCAAAGCAGCACAGGTTAACAGTCACTGTGACACTGAAAACCCTACTTGTTCTAAGAGGTCTCTTCATCTGTAAAATGGGATAATGCACAGATCTTATACTGTTTGATTCAATGAAAACAGCACAGGTTAACAGTCACTGTGACACTGAAAACCCTACTTGTTCTAAGAGGTCTCTTCATCTGTAAAATGGGATAATGACACAGATCTTATACTGTTTGATTCAATGAAACCTTTGAGAATGTTCTTAAACGTGTATCCTACAGTCTTTTGCAAAGGGTAAATACTGAATAAATATTATGGTTATTGTATTTAAATTTTTATGTCACTGTGACCAAATACTTGAGTAAAGCAACTTGGAGGAGGAAAGATGCACCTTGGCTCCAAGTTTGTCTTTGGTGCAGAGGGCGTGGCAGAGCAGAGCAGCTCTAGCACACAGAAGCCAGGAAGCAGAAGCAGATGAGAATGCAAGAGGAGGCTAAGCAAGTTATGCCCACCAAGCACACCCTCGGTGGCCCACTCTTCTATTGTGCCCCATCTCCCACTTCTTATAATCTCCCAATGATGTTATGTAACGAATCCTTCAAGGGATTATTCAAATGCCCCCAGGATCCAATCACTTCCCAAAAACCTGTCAACTGGTAACCAATGCCCTAGTTATATGAGCTGAGCCTGTGGTTAGCATTTCATTGTCAACCCATACCAATCATTAACATGACAGTTGATAGGGTATGAGAGTTTGAACAAGAAATGTAGGCTCAGATATTTGAAAGTTGGTCCATAGTTGGTGTAGTTGGTGTTGTTGTTTGGGGAAGTTGGGGGGTGGTGCAACCTTGCTAGAGGGACATCGTTTGGGATCAGCTTCCTTAAGTTGCTTTTGATCATGGCATTTTATTACAGCATCAGAAAAGTGACTAATACATATGACACAGCACTGGAGGCCAACGCTGTTTTCCACCCTTAGGGTGAATGCTGACCATGAGTGATTCGGCAGATTTGCTGGAGGACATGATTCTGGTACATACTGTTGTCTTAGCAAAATCAATAGTGTAGAGAATAGGAGGAAAATGGTAGACACCAAACGTTATCTCAGAAATTGAGCAACAGTGTCGGGTTAAGGAAATGGCTCAGTAGGTAATCCGTCTGCCACACAAGGGTGAGGACTTGGATATGGATATCCAGAATCCATATACAGCTAGATGTGGTTGCCGAGTCTGTGTGTTTCTGTTTGCAGGGTTTGAGATTTCTCTGTTGCTACCCATTTCACTTCAGATGTTTCCTGTCTTTTAATTAACTGGCAGAGAAAGCAAACAGATCAAGACCCTAGACTGTACCAAAAGCAGGTGCAAGGCAGAACTGACACCCAGGTTTTCCCCTAACTTCCCACATTCGAAAACCTGAGAACACACACACACACACACACTCCAAGGACTATTTCAAAGAGCAACAATGGTGTTGCCAATTGCTTTGTCTCAACTGATGACTACAGTATTACCATCAGTAACTTCATATCTGTATCCTAATCTACACACTTCTCCCCACCCCCAGACAGGGTTTCTATGTGTAACACCCTTGGCAGTCCTGGAACTCATTCTGGAGACCAGGCTGGCCTTGAACTCATAGAAATCCACCCACCTCTGCCTCCCAAGCGCTGGGATTAAAGTTTTGCACCATCCCGCCCTAGTCCACACACTTCAGTGGGTGAAATCCCAGTCTTATCTAGCGTCACCGTCACACTCCTTGCCTCTTGCTCCCCTCACCTCTTCTTTCCTCTCTTGCTTCTCTGTCTTTCTTGTCTCTTGCCTCTTCCCTGTTTTTCTGCCTGCCTCTCTCATGTCCCCACTCCTACACAGCCTTTTGCTCTTTCCTTCTCCCCCAATAAACTTCTTTCACTAGCTCTGTTGCATGTGGCATGTTTGCTTAGTGGCATAACTTGGCAGAGCCGGTCAAAAGATACCTACTTTGCCTTCCTGTTTTTTCTTTAATCCTTACACTCCCTACAGGTATACAGATAAGTGATTCTGCTCTGGAAGAAACTAAGGACCTATAATGACTTTCCACTGCAGTCTTCGTTACCTTAGACACTAACAGAAACATTTCTCCCTAGTTTATGTAGAAACATGAATGGATATAAGCTGATGTGGTTCACTTGACCTTGAAAAAATAATCAAAAGGCTAAGGAACTAAGTGGGTGGGTGAAATGCCTGTCATGTGAGCATGAGAATCTGAGTTCAGAGCCTCAGAATCCCAGCAGCAGCAGCACAATTTGTCCTCTGGTTTATTAAAGCAAGCAAAGAACACAAAATTGGGAGGGGTAGGGAGATTGGAGGTGAATCTGAAATGAACAGAGATGAATATGATCAAAACACACAGTATGAAGTTCTCTAATAAAAAGTCTACTTTTTAAAAGCTGGTCAAGGTTGCTGCAATTGGGGGTAGGGTGTGAAGAGGGGATAGGGTTGGGCAAAAACAAGTGTTGGGAACAGGCAAAGCAACATCAAAATGTCCTAAATGCTGCCATTTTGACTTCAGACTCCATTTCACCTGTCTGATGAAACAAAGTTTAGGTTCCCAAGCCCTATGGTAGCCGGGGACCTTCCAATAGCTGATGTACCTCCTCCTTACACTTTGCAAACAGTCATTATGCATCTTTGGCTCTCTAGAAACATAATGGCTGTTCTTAACAACAGAAAGAACAAATGAATCTGGTTGGACTGAAAAGCTTGCATTGTGTGTCAATAGATAAAGATTAAACATTCAAGTAGAGCCCCTAATCTCTAGTGAAAAGTGTCATTGTAACTTGGTAACAAATGCTTCAGATTTTTGTGCTAAAATACTTGCTTCAACTAACACTCAGGTTGTAGTCTGTTCTGTGGCCCTGATTAATTAGTCCCACCCTCTTTCCCCCTTCTTTTTTCTGTCCTGCATTAAATCTTGCCTTATGGTAACTTCTTGTGTCTGCTTGGGTTGATTTGGAGCCTAGGACCACAACACAGATGTGTGGAGCTCATTGGCCACAAGCAGATACTTGAAGCTCACTGGCCACCCAGTCTAGCCAATCAGTGAGTTCTGCCTTCCAGTGAGAGAACCTGTTTCAGAAAAAATGCCAGGTGAGGTGGTTCCCACCTTTAATCTGAGCACTCAGGAAGAGGCAGGAGGTCCTTCCAATTCAAGCTTGTCTTGTCTGGTCTACATAGTGAGTTCCAGGCCAGTTAGTAAGACAAACTGAGACAAGGAACAAAAAACAAGTGAAGAGTTGGAGAGTGATCAAGAAAGACACTATTGGATATCCTCTGGCCTACACACACACACCATCACCACCATCACCACCACCACCACCACCACCACCACTAATCACAGCCTATTCATTTCCTATCTCCTTCAATAATGAAACTCCTTTAAGAGTGTGCCAGAAGGACTTGCACTCATACAGGGGATGTTCCTTGTAGGAACATATCACATACATGAATCTGTTTTACAAGAATCTGTTGAAATGGATCTCTTGGAATACTAATTTCTGGAACATTCTATTAGTACTTCTCAGGGTTCCTTAAATTGACTTACATTCATATGTTAGACTAGAACTTCCTAAGGGAAGAACTTAGATACAATTAGCTACAAATACCTAGGAACTCTCTTAGTTTCCACCTAGGACTGCCCAGACTAATAAAAATCAACTAACCACTATGCAAATTTTTGCCATTCATCTGAAATTCAAGTTGAGCTGAGTGTTTTGGACTTTTACCTGACAGCCTAATACCTCAATAAAAATTGATAATAAATGAATGGGTGCATGACATCAACGAATGGAGCTGTGGATGATCAAAAGCTGATGACCAGGATGCTCATACAAATGACACCCAGCCATCACAAGCCATCACAATGGTGTCAGTCAGCCTTCTGCCCTCTAAAACCCATGCTGCCTTTGCCCTGAGACATGTTTTGCAGCCAAACTTCAGCAGCCACCTTTACACCATACGCAAGAGTCTTGTCCCAACAGCTTTACATCTGAATTACACACATTCCTGGCTAATTGTTTATTAGTTGTGCCAGCTGTAAAAGAAAATTGATTTTGGGTGGTATATGAAGTATACCTCTGTATGTTCCTTTAAAACCACCAGAACTGTGCTTTTATTCCAGGCGAACCCTAGGGTTTTGAGTAAAGTCATTCACCTTGATTAAGCCATCAGGACCAATTCTGTTTGGAAAAAACAGATATCTGGAATTAGTTTTAGCAATCAATTTAAGAAGTATATTATATATATATATTTATATGTGTATATATGTATACATCACCCCAAATTAATTTCCCTGGGGCTGCCTGTAGCACGAAAAATAAAAGGCCCAGAGACTGATATAGGAGTTCAATCTTCAAGATGAGAGAAGCAAAGCAGCCAAGCACTAGATCTCACTTTAACGCAGAGTGAAAGGCGATCCTGGCTCCACCAAACCTCAGACTGCTTCCTCTCCTGAGCCTGGCTGGAGAATCCTGAGATTTCACTGTCTTCTTAACCTCAGTGTGGCTGGAGAATGAATGCCTGATTCTGACTACTAAAGACCCTGCGCCTATCTTTTCATACCCCTCTAGTGCTGGGATTAAAGCCCTGTGATCCCAGGTGCTGAGAGCCTCTTTATGTAAACTGTTTCTCTTTAGGACTGGATTTTTTTAAAATTCCAATCCCAGTTCCTCCTTCTTTCTCTCCTCCCCCTTCTTCATCTCCTCCCACTCCTTCTACTCCACCCCCCCCCACACCACATCCCATTTGCTCCTCGGATAGGGTAAGGCCTCCCCTAGGAAGTCTACTGAGTCTGTCCCATCATCTCGTTGAGGCAAGACTAAAGCACCTCTCCATCTCCCACACTCCTGTGTCTAGGCTGGGCAAGGTATCTCTCTATATAGAATGGGCTCCACTAAGTCAATTTGTGCATTAGTGTTGATTCTTGGACTCACTGTCAGTGGCCTCATATATTGTGCTAGTCACACCATTGTCATCTATATTAATGGAGTCTAGTTTGGTCTTATGCAGGTTCCCCATTTGTCAGACCTGAGTAAGAGATCTCTCATTAGCTCAAGTCAGCCGAATCTGTGAGTTTCTCCATCATGATCTTGACTTCTTTATTCATATTATCACCGGTCCCTCACTTTGATTGTACTCCAAGAGCTTGGCCCAATGGTTAGTTGTGGATTTCTGCATCTGCTTCCATCTGTATCTGGAAGAGGGTTCTAGCTTCTCTGGGGTTGTGGATTGTAGGCTGGGTATATTTTGCTTTATGTCTTATATCCACTTATAAGTGAATAGATACTATATTTGTCTTTCTGGTTTTGGGTTACCTCACTCAGGATGGCAATATTGTGTAGATCTTTGTGGCCTTGGACACATAGAGAGCCATCTATCTCTTAATTTTGAGTCCTAGGATTAAAGGTGTGTACCACCACCTCCTAACTTCTGGCTGCTGGGATTAAAGGTGTGTCACCACTGCCTGATCTCTGTAGCTTGAGGCTGACTTTGCCTTTCTGAATCCTCAAGCAAGCTTTAATAAGTCATAAATAATATATCACTACAGCTGCCCCCAAGGCTCTTATTCTTTTCTTCTTTAATTAAAAATATTACTAGGGTATGTGCACAATGTATATGTGGAGGTCAGTAGAGTCTGCATTTTTAACATGCTCTGGGTGGGTGCTGCCTCTAACTTCTGAAGTCCTCCATGGGTCACTCTCCTGTACTGTTCCCTTCTTTCTCAAATCAGTATTTCATGTTCCTCAGAACGGAAAAGTGTACCAAAGTCCCTTGACTTATAATGGGGAGCAAGTCTTTGACTCCCTGTTGTAAGTGGAAAATATGCCAAGATCCATGCCACATCCCGGTACAGTTTCAGTCTCCCTTGCTGATAGTTGACTCACACTTCCTGTTCAATGTAGTTGAGCATCCTACTGACGTGGGATGAAGAGATCTCCCCATCCACTTCAGCGATGTAAGTGTAGAGAAACTGGAAGGTGCTGAAAGGAATTCGAGGTGGTCCTCCATCGTGGTCACAGGACAAAACTTCACACACTATCTTGAGAGTTTTGGCAATGGTCTAGAAAACCACAACACAGAAGGAGGACAAAATCACTCTTCCAGGCTAGATCCCTGAAATCAGTTTAGACTCAAGAAAGAAAACAAAACCAATTCTCAGGTAAGATGGAGTGAGGATGATCGAAGAGTCCAGACCGCTTAACATGTGGCAATCAACTCATTCTAAACATGCTGACTTCCAGATAGCTTATCATTCTTTCTTGAAGGAAATTCAACTTATACACTGACAAATACTTCAAGATATTTGTTAAGTTCAATTAGAATAACCTCTTCAAAGGAGAACCGACTTTCATTCTATAAAATTAACACTGTCTTGGGCCAATGAAAAGCCTCTGTGAGAAAATGTGCTGAGCCTCTGTGAGAAAATGTGCTGGGCATAAGCCTGATGACCTGAGTTTGATTCTCAGGACTATGTTTGAAGTGTTATGGAATTGACATGCCTTCCCAATGGGGAAATCACACAGAGGACACAGAGATTAATAAAGGAAGAACTTTTAATCATAGTGCAGTAGTAGTTCTGGCTACTGTACAGAAGGGGCCAGGCTTGAACAGTTTCACGGTCCCAAGTCACATTTTGAATAATTTAGTGTGGTCCAAGGTTTGGTTGTTTGGACAAATGGGGAGATTTACAGAGTTAAGTATTGTAGATATCTCAAGCCAGCCCAGGCTGCTCTTCCCAGGCAACTGTTAACCAGGGCATCCTGCCTGCCTGGCAGAATCATTCTATTCCTGATGAGTGAACTTGAGTGCTCCTTTAGCTAAATTCTGTTTTGTGTAACTTAGTGTTTCTTAAGCAAGTTTAGTAGATAATATCTAATATCAACTTATTACTCCCAGTTTTCCTAGAAGAGAACCAACTCCTGCAGACTGGCCTCTGAGACTGTGCACATGCATAATAAGTAAATGGAAAAAAGAAGAATATTAGAAATATTTCTTCTTGCCTTCCTACTTTATCTCCTAAAGCTTAGAGACATCTACCCATTGATCCATTTATCCATCTATCTATCCATCCATCCATCCATCCACTTACCTACCTACCTACCTAGTTATATATAATAAATATCACACACACACACACACACACACACACACACACACACACACACACTTTGCTGGCTTGCTAAAGTTGCCAGTGTAAAGAGATATCCTCCAGGGTTCAGTCAAGAATCAGTCCTGAGTGGTGAGCTAAGTGACCTGAGGTGATTAAGCAGCTGCTATATGTCCTAACATGACTGGCCATAGAAGTCCCCTTCCCTGGCAACTTTGTGAATGTTCAGCTCCCATCTCCTCTTGGATGCAATGTCTAGACAGTGTTCCTTTTACTGTGAGGCCTAAGACAATTTGAATAAATTTGGCTCATCTTCCTAGGGGCAGTTTAACTGAATGGCAATGATTTTTAAAGGTCTTTTGCCCTAATTAATTACTATTCATTTTGAGTTAATATTTAAATTTTATCTCCATTTAACTAATGTTGAATAAAATAGGATCTTCAATATGCAACAGTTTAAAAATGATAAGCCATAGATGTCAAAAAACTATTGAGGTTTGTAGTTTTGTAACAGGTCAGTCACCTGGAGCCCCAGGAAAACACTCATATAGGAAGCATCTTCTGGGCACTCACATTAACATGGGGTCTAGATCAGATGGCAAGCTGTGTGTGTTGCATATGTGAGGCTGTCGGTGGGGGGTGGGGAAGGGTGTGAGATGTTGTCAACAGGAGAGCACTTTGGAGTATATTTGTGAGCATGAGTGTGTGCACTAAGCTACATAGTTCTGCTCACAGTATTTCCTACTTCTCTAAAACAATTCTACCCCCCAACTTCATTATGCTGTCCTCTTTTGGGGCTGCTATTATAGGCTGAACTATCCCCCCTTAAGTTCTTAGGTTGAAGTCCAAAGTCCCAGAATCTGAGAATTTAGAATTAACGAGAACTGAATGAAATGGTGCACACCTGTAATTGTTGCACTCAGGAGGCTGAGGCAGGAGAATGGACAGTTCAAGGCCATGTGGAGCTACATAATGACCTCCCATCAAAAAGCATAGCACCAAACCAAAATGCCGCCCACCATAATTATTAAAAAGCAAATTCAGTGGCAATGAAATGGTTAGGATAGGCTTCAGTTCAGCACGACTGGTGTGTGGAGTGTGACAAGAATGATGGGAGAGATGTATGGATTCAGAATGACATAGGAGGAAGAAGCCCCTCCCACACCAGTGAAGGAGGCTTCAGAAGAAACAACCTGCTAACACCATGACCTTTGGCCTGCCTGGCCTCCAGAACTTAAGACAAAACTTTTCTGTTGCGTAAACCACCCAGCCCGTGGTAAGTTGTTGTCGTATCCCCTGCAAGCAACTTGGTGCTTTGGACCTCAACTGTTTATTGATTATCCATACAAGCCTTTACATTCTAATGTCCTCATACTTATGAGATATTTTATTTTTAGTTGTGTGTTGTCTGTGTGTGAGCGTGTCCACACGAGTACATGAGTGCAAGTGCTTCAATGTCTAGACTAGGGTGTTGGCTACTTGGAGTTGGAGTTACAGGTGTTTGTGAACGGCCCAAAGTGGCTGCTGGGAACTGAACTTGGGTCCTCTGTACAAGTTCAAAGTGCTCTTAACCACTGAGCCATATCTCCAGCTCCCTTACAACTATAAAATATTTTAAATAAAAAAAGATCATGGTTAAATAGTTTCTTGGAGTGGATCTTTTTTAAAAAGTTCATTGTTAATGTAAACAGATCTTCATAGTCTCATTAGATTTGTGTGTGTGTGTGTGTGTGTGTGTGTGTGTGGTGTGTTTTAAACTCAAACATGAACACACTTCTTCCACTCATGATCTCGTCCACCTGAATGGAACAGCAGGTGGTATTATGGCATCCGGGAGGAAGGAATGCTGGACAGGAAGAGGACACGGGTCTGCCAGCTGTAGCATGTGGCGTTCAAGACTGGAGTCACTTTCCCTGTTGCCTACTGGAATAGAAGTTCCAGCCATTAGACTCTTCTAATGGGAGCAAAACCTGCTTTCCTGGATGGTAAAAGACCATAACTTGCTTGCCAAGGAAGGGAAAATTCCTAGTTGAACGTTCTCCAAGGACATCAGGATAGGTGGAACTCAAGCCTCCTGCTAAGAGGTGATACCTTGACTCTCTCAGTTTACTGGGGCTTCTATAATGATGTATCTTAAATGTAGAGATTTAATACAAATCATAATCTGATGCCTACATTCTGAAGGACAAGAAGTTCCAGATCAAGGACTGACAATGACCTATTTTTCATAGGTGGTGATTTCTCGCTGTAGTCTCCCATGGTGCAAGGGGCAAACAGCTGCCTCCAATTCCCATTTATAGACTGTTTAGTCTCTGTTTCCAAGGACTGCACTCTTGTGACCTAAGGCCCCATCCATAATACCATCTCTTTGGGACTTAAGATTTCAACCCATGAGTTCAGGTAACACAAACTGCCTGGTTGAAGCGCTGACCAGCCCCACAATTAAGCTCCAGCATGATGTAAGTGGGTGTAAGCATTGTTCCTAGATTCTCAGGCACCTTTGGTACAGAGACTATGCACTTCCAGACTGACTTTGCCTCTGGGTGTTCTTTGATGGGAATGATGAAGGACAAGAGGCTGTTTTGGTGGGAGCAGGTAAGTGGGACAGAATGACAGCTTGTTAGAGGTGAAAGGACCTTATAGAACACCTGATCCAACTTCCTTGTTTTGGAAGCAATGGAGAAAGATAGAGCTCACTGCATAGCTTCCTCCCAGTTTGGGAAACAGGCACATCAGAGAAAGCCTGCCAAGTATGTGATGTGCAAAACAGAAAAGGAGTTGGAATGTGGCTTCCCAAAGTCACCCCCAGGCTACTGTGAGACATGGGGACAAGAAGATGATGACTCAGTCATCTCACACAGGGTTGAGAAGCTTAGACCAAAGCCAAGGAGATGAGGACAATGTGCAGCAAACACTGGTGGGGGGAGAGGGAACAGCATGGGGGAAACCTGAGATGGGCCAGTGGGGACCATATGATGCTATGACCAAACCAAGAGATACAAAAGCCTAAGCTATATAGCAGCATTGCAGTGAAGACCAGAGGGCCTAAAGTGGCCACACCCCTTCATCCCTGATCAACCCCTTCCTAAAATACTCAGTTACTGCTACCTTGGAGAAGAGCAGGGAGAAGCTCCAAGAGGCAGTGGTTACCTGGAGGTGTTTTCATTTGCTGCACCTATCTAAGCGCTAACATTGGGTCAAACCTACTTAGTTCCTACTGTATCCTTTGAAGGTGAGGTAGGTCAAGGTCAGAGGTCAAGGTCAGAATTAACAGGAAGAGAGAGTCAGAGCATTCTGTTAATAGCACATAGCCTTATAAGACTTTAATAAAATACGTGCATTTAAAATAGTTTTTTATGTGATTTCTTTCAATCCTTGACCCTCCCCCCAGCAAATGTGAGCTTAGTCCTGGTTGACAGCTCATTTGTCCTGCTATGTTTGCCTCCTCTTCTGGGAGAAGAGTCATTTATTCATTATATAATGCTTCTATGAAAGACAATGAAGAAAAAAAACCAATCACAAATATTCCCCTCTTTCTTTCTCTTTGGAGAAATGATTATGACAGTTGCAGGGGGAACCCACAGGAAAAGTTGGATTACAATATTTCTGCTAAATTTACACAGAAACAAAAATGCCAAATACGTGTTCAGAGCACATTTGAGAAGAAAGACCAAGATCGTGCTTGGCTGTGCTGAGAGATTTCAGCTACTTTCTCGTCTTTGTTGGCCTGAGCAGAGGCAATGATCTCCTTATTGACCTCTACATGTATCTTGGGGAAACTAGTAGTGACTCACTTTCAAAACAGCAGTTCCCATTCATTTTCATTCATTATCAGTGACTAACAAGACTGAGCCCACCTAGACCAGACATCATTTTTTAAAATCTGGTTTCAGCATTATTTTTTCTTTTCAAACCAGGAAAAGGCTTTTCCGGTTTTCAAACTAATTTGGAAAAGGCCTGAATTTGTATGAACTTCCTCTCTCTGTGATTATGATTCTAGAAATCAAAATCTCTTTTTTCCCTGTTCATTTAAAAATAAGTGTTTAAAATACTCTTTGCTTTCTCTTTTTTTCTGTCAATCTTCTGTCAGCTTGTGTTTACCAACAGTTTTCTATAAGACCCTTTAAGGTCTCTACCAGAATGGCTTCTAGGTATCTGACCCCACAAGTAAACAAGAGTTATCATACAGCTAGAAGCCGTGAATAAAGTGGGCAGAACAGACGGAGGGCAATGGTTGAAAGCCACAAATAACCCAAAGCCAAACTTGGCCAGCTCTCTTGCAGAGCCTGGTGATGACCACCACCTCCTTCCCCGACCTCATGCTTCTGATCATTGAGCCTGGAGGTGACCTTAATTCAGAGAGCAAAAGAAGGCACAAAAGGCAGCTTTTCTTTTGCCATCTCTGGAGAGCTGGAAGGGGGCAGATGGATCGTCCTTCCAGGCCCAGAGAAAAGTTATGGGGTATTTCAAGTTTGTTTTTGGTATACTGAGAACTGAGCCTAGGGTGAAACCAATGCACTACCACTGAGTCATTCCAGCCCTCCGCCCTATGAGACAACACACAAAAAAAGGTATCTTACAACTCCAAGAGAGCTACAAGCAAGGGCTAAAAACTTCAGCCACTCGATCTCCTCTGTGAAGCGACCCACGTTCATCACACTGTTAAACAGATCAGTTGGGAGATTCAGCGCCTTCCACATCTGGGCCAGCTCATCTGCGTGGATGATCAGCCTGCCGGCAACCTTCAGGACAGAGGACACACAAAACACATGTGAGGACGGCAGGCAAGATGCTCTGAGTTCTTCCAGCAGGGAATCCCATTTGACAGTTGTCTTTGAGAGGCCCGTGATATAGCTTTAATATTTTAAAACTCCAGATGTCAGAAATACGCTCAAGAGATCCATTTATAGTATATTCCATTTTTTATGATGCCTTTATGGTCTCTAGTTGTGTTCTTATGTTGTCCCTGTAAGGCAGATGGGACATCAGATGCACTGAGTCTCATGCATATCCCTCCTGTCTCCAAAAGAGCGGTATGTGGTGCCCTATGGCTGACCTGTAGGGTTTAGAATGGATTATGTAGCATTGTTTGGTCCCAGGAACTTGAGAGCTCTGCCATATTCACTACACAGAAAACTTGGCAGTTAGAAGTAGAGGAATGAGGATGGATGGAGTTAGCTAATGACACAGTGAGCGTGCAGATGCCCCTTTAAGTGTCCCAACACTTTTCCAGGGCCTCTGAGGCCAGTGAAATGCTGAGCCTCTGGAACTCAAGCCCCAGACACCAAAGCTTCCCCTATCCTGTACCCCAATGTGGGGTGTCATGCTGCTCAACTGTATCCTGGGAACTGGCCAAACCACCGGGTTTCTCAGGCCAGTCCCTCCTTTTCCATTCACAGGCTAACTTCTAGGAGAATGCATGGGGATTGGCAGCATTTGCCCTGAAGGCTGGGCTCTGTCTGTGCCTGGGTTAGGGGTGAAAGCAGAGTATACACTTCCTGTGCAGACTGTGGTAGGTCTCTCATGGTCTGGACCCATCAGGGAGATGCTGAGGAGCCCGGGGAGTTCCATTCTCTAGGACAGGCAACATTCATTACATTGAACCCTTGAATATCCTTCCGGATCTGTGATGACCCCAGGAGACAGCCCATCACTCAGTTTCTTCCATACTGGTTTCTGTTTCTCTGAAGTAAGACCCACATTCAGACCGGGATTTAGTAAACTTTGGGGTAGTGTTAATGGCCAGCTGCCTGGTGACCAGTGGCCCTTGCCTAACCCATTCAGTCTCCACACCATCCATGAAGGCTCCGTACCCGAGAATGCAGGACCTTCAACAGCTCAGGAGTCAGCTCAGCCCAGTTGGACAAAGTGACTTGCTCGGACCTCTCTCTCACTGGAGGAATCTCTCCACGGGACATGGCCCCGAAATACCTGAAAGAAAACAGACAGGGTGCCAGGCTCTAGTGACCTCTGGATACTTTATTTACTTTCCTTTCTTTTTCTTTTGAAGGAATTGAGTACATAAAACAAAAAACAAAACAAAACAAAACAAAAACAACAGTATTTTGCCATGTCTACTTCGTTTGCATATGGGAAAAGTCTGATGGTGTTATTTCCACTTTAAGAAATGAAGAATGCTTAGGGAATTAAACTTTTTTCTTTCCTCAAAGAATAATGAGGAACAACCAACAAAATTCTGGCATTTTCAATCACCTGGGGCATTTTCAATCACCCTCCCATCCCTTTTAGTGTTTTATTCACATAGACAAACAGAGATCCTGGGACATTTATAGCGCATCTATACGTGTGTGTGTTTGGTAGGTGAGTAGACGGTGCTTATAGGAAAATAAGAGCAAATAGAATGTTGCAGGGGTGAGTGAGAAAGGGTTTCTGTCCGGAGGGAGTGAGGCCAGACTTCAGGGAGGGTGAGAGGGCTGGCAAGGCGCTTCAAGGAGGGGACATAACAACCTGGTACGGTACATGTGAAGCAGACCCTTCTTTGTCCCTACAGAACTTACGGTTAAATGTGTCATTGTGTGCCACTGCTTCCTGGGGGTGACGTGAAAGATGGGTCGGCATGGTATGGAAATAAGTGGCCTGTCTCGGAATGGGCAGATGCCAGGGTCTGTCCCCATCAAAAGCCTTATTATCCCGAATCACAAACTTCTACCCCTTTCTACTCCCTTCGCCCACTGCTTTCTCCATAGCCAGGTTGTATAAAATATAGAGGGTGTTTCATAAAAGGTCAGTTTACATGATGGAGCTAATTATTGCCCATCTCTGAGAAACAAAACAAGTCGAACTAAAGACACATGGATCAACACAGTAACTTCTAACCCCTGGAGGTCCCTGGCAGGACAGGCTGTAGAAATACTTTGATGCTTTTGAGCGGTTACATGAGAACTCCCTGGAGGCAGACAGACCAATGTTTGGATAGGGCAGATACAATGGGACACCCAGAGTGGGATGGTGGCCTCTGACTTTGCAACCAGAAGAGGGCGATGTAAATGGCAGGGATAGCAGTATCACAGCTGGCATTATGCAGACTGAGTGGCATTACACTTGGCACTCTCCAAACAGCATTGGGATTGTGAGTGTAACTGTTTAGAGAACACGGAAATGAAGCTGCACCCAGGGACCCTGTCTTAAATCTTTGAGCTCCATTTGCAAGTGAATGACTCCAGTTGTGGAGATTTAGGCTGTCCCACAAGCCTGCTGCAGGGCAGATTGTCATATGCCCTGCTGATGGGGTGGGAGTGGGGGCTCTACATTGTTGGGGCGTTTGGAAGGAAACTCCTGCATGTGACAAAGCAAATACCTATTTTATCTTAAGGATACTTGATGGAGTTCCATCTGCTAAAACGCTACAAGTTTGTAAGCTTCAGAAAATGATCCAGTGAGGGCTTTTGATGTCTAAATGTGGTGGAGAATGTTCTTAAGTCATGCTCCTTTTCATTGCAGTTGAAGTACAAACTGATCTTGCACGGATGTCTAAAAAAATGTATAGCACATCATACAATATGGAGCAAGAAGGCTACCGTGGTAGAAAGTTTTCCTCCATAAATGTCAGGGACAATATCAGGAAATGTCATTTTTCTGGATAACGCAGGAGCACAAGAACAATAAAATGGAGTTTTAAGCAATCATATGGCATAAAACAAAATCTGTCTGACTGCCAAAAGAAATTAGTCTCCTGACATTAAAATGTAATCTTAGAGGCGATACATAACATTCAAAATAGAAAACGACACAGGAGTCCTGACTAGGCAAAGCAACTCCCTTTAGGCCATTTAAAAGCACCGAGGCTTTACTTCCCCTCTATTCTAAAAAGCATCCTCCTGGCTCAGCCTGGCAGCAGGAGAGTTTATGCCTTCGGAAAGGGCGTTACAGCTGGTCTCCACCACCTGCTGGATACACCCACTCACACCCCAGGATGTCTTCCCGCTGAGGTATCTTCCCACAGAGGCATCACTAAGGAAGTAGTGATCATCCAGCGAGAAAAACAGCTAGAAAAGGACCCTCCGGTCTTGTACCAAGGCTGCCCAGTTTCTAGTAGGCACGTGGAAGAAGCAATTTCATAGTTGAGAGACTTTCTATGGGAAGCGGCCACGGTGAGGTCAGCCCCTGTTGTGTAAATTCACCCACTGAGCAGCCTCCAGGGCCCCTTCAAGGAGCCAGTGTGCTAGAGACACACCATGGAGCCCGCCTTGACCTCCTCACCCGGCGCTGCCTCCTTTTCTAGAAAGCCACGTGACCACGGACATCTTCATGCTGAGCAGAGAGATCAGGTTTTTAAAAAATCAATAAAGAAAATGACAGCCCCGACCCCCCCAACCTCCAGGCATGATGCAAAGTGTCTTTATTCTGGCCCACGCTTGAGTTTCCACAGCCATGAAGGAAGGTGTTTCATTAATCAGAGGAAACCCGCTTGGAGAGAGCCCACCTCCTCTTCCCTGCGGGATCGCGCGCCACTCCACTAGGTGTACTGCTGCCATCTAGCGGTCAGAAGGAGAACAAGCTGAGGCGCAAACCAAGGAAAATGTGAGTTGAGCTGAAAGCCAGGTTCCCAGGCTCCTTCCAATCAGGACAGGTGGTCGGGATGCCACCATGGGCTGTGCGGGCATGTGCTAAGCGTGACATGGTAACTGATCCTCTTTGCCCCAGTTCACTTGGCCTGCTGTCCTCCTACGCTACAAGTTTAAGAAAGGCATCCCATACTTGCCCTGTTTGATGCATTTATGTGTGGATTTTGGTTGTGAGCCTAGCCTTTAACGGCTAAGCCATCTCTCCAACCCTATATGTGGATTTTAAAGACCCAGTTTCTCCTTAATAGCCAGCACAGCCTGACCCCTGGCTTGCCAACCTCTTCAGTTTCCCACAAACCCTCTTTCCTCGCCCGTGCCCTCTGAGAGGAACAACTTACTCAGCCGCCCATTGGATGAGATCCGGAGGCTGGGTCCGAATGGCAGCTTTGGTAAACTGCTTCAGCAGTTCGGGCAGCTCCGGTGGGATGCATACTTGCTTATCTGTCTGAGGCATTGATCACTTGACCTATATGCACGACAAAACAGAACACAAGGATTTTACTTGAGTCATCAACAATCATGAATCATAAGATAGCAGTCTGGAACATAACACTTCTTTTGGAGGGTCGACTAGCCCGCAAGACAGATGCAGTCTAGAAAGTAGAGTCCTGGTTTTTACATTGTGCTGTAGGTAGTGATGTCCTTTACATGAAAAAAATCACAAGTGCTTAAAAAATAAAGGTCAGCAGAAGTAAACAAAAACAATCCCTAATTATCTCATCTTTAAATCCTGGATGTTTTCTCCAAAAAACAAAAAGTTTAGCCTATATATGTATGGTGTGGGTGTGTGTGTGTGTGTGTGTATAAATAAAAGATTGGGTTACACAAAGCAGTTTATGCAGTACTGAATCATGAATACCTTTCTATGTTCCTTCAACCCTTCATTGGATGAAAACTGTAGCAAAACTGATTCCATGATTCCCCTTTTATGCTTTGACACTAGGTTATTTCCAAAGCAAGGTCATTATTAAACAGTCAAGTGATGAACTACTCTCTTGTTTACTCTAACATTTTTCATGTGCAAAGTTCTGGGAAATCTACAGATGAAATACACTTTATACAAATAAACAAATGTCTCTGAAAAAGGCAGACTCAAGAGATTAAAATGTCCCAGCTTCAAAAACACCAAGCAGGTGGACAGATCTCAGTGAGTGCCTTTTGCATTGCCTTGCTTGGGCTTGCAGTAAAGTGAGAGAAATCTTTAGGTGCCAAATCAAATAAGTGACACAGAATCCAGAATGAGGAACATACGAAGAGTCTGAGCTGACCTGGAGGCAAAAGTGGCTAGACAGAACTCAAATATAGAATATGAATGACAGCACAAGGAGGGGGGAGACTAGGGCTTGGCCCACCAAAAAGACATGACTGAACTAAAGGACCCTCTCCCTTCCTGGCCTGCACTGAGATCCCACAAAGAACCTGTTCTTTGGTGTGGGTGCAAAGGATAACGTCTTTTGTGTAAAATGCAGACTGGAAACTGTGTGTAGGGATACACAGAGCTGTCTCCACAGATTTTTCTGGGGAGAGAAACAGCCCAAAGACTGTGAAGTTGCAAGGAAGATCTAAGTTTAGATCTATGCCAACGATGTCTACTTGGGAAACCCAACACAATAAATGACTGTGGCCTTAGGTGGGTGGCACCCCACTATTTTCTAGTTATTCTTTTATTTGTAAGAGGACGATAAAGATAATGTTTGATTTTAGACTTCATAAAAAGCCAACTATGCATACATTTTACTAATACTTTTCACAAGTTAATATACAAGTAAGAATATAAAAGTCATAAAAGTAAACACTAGATATGTAAAAAGGGGAAACTGAATTAAATACACATATAGCTTCTTCCCACAAAAACCTCAACCAATCAACCAATCAACCAGCCAACAAACCAACCAACCAACCAACCAACCAACCAACCAACCAACCAAACAAACAAACAAAAAACCTCCAAAACACCTTGATTAATTAAAAACAAGACATAATATGAGGTAGGGAGGAAACATTTGATAGGACAGTTGAAAAGACTCCATGCTTATCTATAACCACAATGAAAGGAAATTTACTTTCTTTAGGTGCCTTATGCATGTGAGTGATACACATTTGTTCCTCCGGATTTTGTTTATTTCATTTAGTATAATGTGGTTCAGCTTCATGCATATTGTAGCATGTGCCAAAGTCTCTGTCCCTTTTAGGTTTGCATAACATTCCATAAACACATAGCTCATTTTGTTTATTTTGTGTATGTATTCATCTGTCAATGGGCATTTATAATAATAGGCTGTTGGCATCTTCTAGCTATTTTAATAATCCTGCTATGAGCATGTGTGCACAAATATCAGTTGGCCCCTGCTTTCAATTTTTGGGTTTATAACCAGAGGTAGAATTGCTGGGCCACACGGTAAGTTCAACCAAGAGGAACCAAGAGGCTATTTTCCATAGTGGTTGCAGCATTTGCTGTCTTCACATATTTTGACGGGATCTTAAGAAAGAAAAAAGGTGTGTGTGTGTGTGTGTGTGTGTGTGTGTGTGTGTATGCATGTGGGGGCATGGATTCCAGGGTGTCATGCATGCTAGCAAGCACTCTGCTATTGAGCTACATCCACAGACCACTACTCATCTTCAGTAGTGTGGGCTCAAGGCCCTGGAATCATGTGTTCTCTCCAGTCTGTTGACTGCCACTCAATTCCAGTGATAATTCCTTTGATATCCAGGTCATCCCTCTCTATCTCCACCCCTCTTTCTCTGGACCCACCCTTCCTCACCCACTGTGCTGCCTCCTAATTGGTGACCTAATTTTAGGTCATTCTCTAGTCAATCCTACCCAGGTCACACCCATCTTCTTGACTGCTTTTCATAGACCAGAAAGCCCTGCTCACAAAACAGCAATCAGACCCAGACTGTCAAGGTTCTCCATGATTTGTGGATGTTCTGAACTACGTATTTCCTGCCATTATTGCTAACATTGTCTACTGTGCCTATTTTCTAAGGAATTGCACATTCGTTTCTCCTTTTCCCTTGGGAAGTCATTGCCACTTGAATAACCTCCCTTTCTTTCTTTCTTCTGTTCAAATCCTATGCAACCCCAGAGTTCATCTTGAGACCATACTGAGCTTCCCTAGAAAACCTGGGTAGCAGCAAATATTGTTGACAGTACACATTTTGCATTAAGTCTTGCTCTGTGTCTTTTGCTCACTGAAGCAGAGCTCCTTACGGTGACTGTGGAGATGGATAACAGGTGTACAGCGAGAGAGTGATGACTGTAAACAGTTTATAGTGATACAAACTTTACAACAATTTACAAGCCATACAGTAGTTGAAATTATATTTGGATGCTGTTTGGCACAGTCAGTAAACTTCCAGATTTCAGTACATCTTAATTTTCTGTGCTTAAACTTTTACGCATAACACCTGCCACCAGGCACACATAGAGGGCTTTCCCTGTCGTACATGGCAATAAAACCATCCCTGTAAATCTGATTTCTGCTTTAACTGTGATATATTTATAATCAGTGTCACTTTGTGCATTTTTTAAAGTTTGCTCTTAAATTTTCACATTATATTTGCAACAAACTATATGCTTCCATAACCCTTCATTATTTGTCTCTAATAATTTACATTTATTCATTTATGACAGAGTCATGCCTTTATTCTAGGCTTTTTGTGCTGGAGAATCAAACACAAGGTCTTGCCCGGGATAGGCCAGGGCTCCCCAACCAAACTTCTTCCTTGACCTTGGGTTTTGACACAAGATTTCATGGAATAGTCTAGGTTGTCCATGTACTCAAGATCCTTCTGCTTCCCAAGCTCAGAGATTACAGAGCCACCATGCCTGGCTGTTTTGGCTTTTGATGTTAATCTCAAATTAGACATTTAATAGATTAATAGATTTTTAAAAAAAATAATGACTTATTGTTTCTAGACATTACAAATGTCTCCTTTCAAAATGTAAAATAATACAATCAATTCAATAAAATCTAACTTGAACATAAAAAACTTCAAAATATTTTAATTACATAGTTCTTGAAATAAATACTTATACTGAAACATTACCATTTTAATAATTATATTCAGCATTTCCTGAATTTCCCCTCACTTAAGTGTTCAAACTTTTAAATGCCTCAGCTTGGCTTTCTTTGAAAATTGGCTTGCTGCAGCCCAAACCACAGTCCCCTTGAACATCTTACATGCACTATTTCCTGCTGTGAAGAATAATTCTGGATTGGGTTTTAATTCAGCAGTAGGGTACTTGCCTAGCAGGCACAAGGTTCTGTGTTGGTCTTCTGCTCCAGAAAAAAGAATATTGTTAAATAGTATACATTTTATTAATTAGCTTAGCATTTTTAAAGACTCACAAATCATTCAGTAATTGAAATATAATTCACTTAAGTGTATACAGAGAGGACTCTTTAATTTTTACTCTTTTCTGTCTTCAATTTTTGTAAGCCTAATGAGACTTGGGAAACTCAGCAAAAGAATAAAACTGTGCCAGGTAAATTATGCCAAGACCTTAATAGAAATGTTATAATAATAAGATATCTCTTGTGAATGAAATGTGTTTATTTATTGGGGGCACTTTTGCCACAGGGTACCTTGCAGAGACCAACTTTCAGGGGTTGGTTCTCTTCTTCTACCAGGTGGGTCCTAAAGATTGAACTCTGGTCCTCAGGTTTGGCAGCAAGTGTCTTTACTGACTGAACCATCTTGCCATTCCCCAAAAGATCAAGATTCTGTTCTTTAAAAATTATCTTTTGTGTGCAATTTTTAATTGTCTGTTAGTTTCATACATATGTGTAATGTGCTAAACCGCCCCCCCCCAATTTTCCTTCCCAATTGCCTTTGTCAATGGCTTACCCTAGTGTCCTTTCTGAGTATTTTCCGTGTGCTGTGACTTTAAGGGGCGGGCAGTGTTGGGTGAGAAATTTCTCCTAAGTCAAGCCATAAAGAACATATACTTAAACATTTGTGTCTTAGTTAGGGTTTCTGTTGCTGTGAAGAGACACCTTTACCACGGCAATTCTTACAAGAAAAACATTTAATTGGGGTGGCTTACAGTTTCAGAGGTTTAGTCAGTTATCATGACAGGACATGGCAGCATGCAGGCTGCTGTGTGCTAGAGAAGAAGCTGAGAATCTTACATCTTGCAGGTAACAGGAAGTCAACTGAGACACTGGGCCATATCCTGAGCATAGGAAACCTCAAATCCCACCCCAACAGTGACACCCTTCTTCCAACAAGGCCATACCAAAGCCACACCTGCTAATAGTTCCACTCCCTATGAGATTATAGAAGATAAATACATTCAAACTACCACAACTTGTCTCAGTGTTTTAGGATGCTGAGTGATACTGGTAGTTGTTGAAATCAATTTCTGGTAAAAACCTGAGCCTTTATATAGTGTAAAAAATAATATTCATAGCCGGGCAGTGGTAGCACACACCTTTAATCCCAGGCAGAGGCAGGTGGATC